TATTAAATGTCGAGGTGTTGAATGTTTTTTATTGATTTTAGGGGGGGTCTCTCTATTTCCTGGATCTGAATGCCTGTTTCCCTTCCCAGATTAGGAAAGTTTTCAGCTAGGATTTGTTCAAATACATATTCAGGCCCTCTCGCCCTTTTGGCGCCCTTGGGAACCCCAATTAAACGTAGGTTTTTCTTCCTCAGGCTGTTGTAAATTTCCCTTAATCTGTCTTCATGATCTTTTAATTGTCTGTCTCTTTTTTCCTCAGTTTCCCTCTTTGCCATCAACTTGTCTTCTATGTCACTCACTCGTTCTTCCCCCTTGTTAACCCTCGTCGTTAGGACTTCTAGTTGGATTGCATCTTATTCACTTGATTTTTAATTTCTGCCTGATTGGATCTAAATTCTGCAGTCATGAAGTCTCGTGAGTCCTTTATGCTTTTTTTTCTAGAGGTACCAGTAGCTGTATAATAGTGCTTCTGAATTGGCTTTCTGACATAGAATTGTAATTCAGATTTTGTAACTCTGTGGGAGAGAGGACTGTTTCTTTCTTTTGAGGTGAGGTTTTCCTTCTAGTCATTTTGGTCAGTGCAGAGTGGCCAAAAACAAGTTGTATTGGGAAAAGGAGAAAAAGAGAGAGAAAGATGTGGTTTATGTATACAATGGAATATTACTCAGCCATTAGAAACGACAAATACCCACCATTTGCTTCAACGTGGATGGAACTGGAGGGTATTATGCTGAGTGAAATAAGTCAATCGGAGAAGGACAAACAGTGTATGTTCTCATTCATTTGGGGAATATAAACAATAGTGAAAGGGAAGGAAGGGAGAAGAAATGTGTGGGAACTATCGGAAAGGGAGACAGAAGATAAGACTCCTAACTCTGGGAAACGAACTAGGGGTGGTGGAATGGCAGGAGGGCGGGGGGTGGGGGTGACTGGGTGACGGGCACTGAGGGGGACACTTGACAGGATGAGCACTGGGTGTTATTCTGTATGTTGGTAAATTGAACACCAATAAAAAATAAATTTATTTAAAAAAAAAGAAAAAGAGAAAGAAGGAAGTAAAAGAGAAAAAGAAAAAAGAAGAAAGGAAGGAAAAAAAAGAAAAGAGAAGAAAAAGAGAAAGAAAAAGAAAGAAAGGAAAATAAAGGGTGGGGGAAGCAAACAGAAATCAAAAAGAAGGGATCCCTGGGTGGCACAGCGGTTTGGTGCCTGCCTTTGGTCCGGGGCGCGATCCTGGAGACCCGGGATCGAATCCCACGTGGGCTCCCGGTGCATGGAGCCTGCTTCTCCCTCTGCCTGTGTCTCTGCCTCTCTCATTCTGTGTGTGTGACTATCATAAATAAATAAAAATTAAAAAAAAAGAAATCAAAAAGAAAAAAAAAGAAAAAGAAAAAAACCACGGGGGAGTATCTTCTGATTCTGGAGACTTTAAGTCCCTTGACTTCCCCTGGAACTGGTCAGTCCAGCTGGTCTTCTGGGGGAGGGGCCTGCTGTGCGGATTTTCAGGTGTTAGCACTTGGGGGAGCTGCTCTGCCCCTGCCTGCTGCAGGGCTCAGCGGGGGTTGTTTACCCCGTGAGGCCCCAGGAGGAACAGCTGCAGTTGCTATGGCAACTCTGGAAGCCTGGATTCGTCTCCCGCAGGAACTACTGAGCTCTCGGTCTGCAGGGCCTGGGGGTTCCGGGCGGGGCCGCTGATCCGCTCAGCTCGGGGCAGGAGCGTCCTCGCTGTCCTGGGCCCTCCCGGCCTCTGCCTGTCCCGGGGAGGCCGGATCCTGGGCTGTGTCCCGGCGCCCTGTGCTCCGGGGCCTGCGCTGTTGAATTCGCGCTCCCGCCCCGCAGCCCCCTCCACGGAGCCGCCGCCCGAGCCCCTCCGAGCTGCTCCGGCCCCGCCGTGCGCGCTGCAGCCCTTAGGGAGCTCGGCGCACTCTCCCGGGGCGCAGGTGTCTGTTAGTGTCCCAGGGAGCCCGAGGGCATCCCCGCCCTCCTGGGTCCTGCTCCAACTCCCTGCGAGCCCCTTTCCGCCCGCCCGGGAAGGTTGGTGCAGCTCCAGCTCCTCCGGGACGGGGCTCTCCTGTCCTGGGGACACTCGCCCCGGCCTCAGTCCGGCTCCTCGCGGGGCCCCTCCCCCTCGGAGGCCTTTTGTTTCTTTATTTCTTTTTCCCCGTCTTCCTACCTTGATAGAAGCGCAAACTCTTCTCACTGTAGCGTTCCAGCTGGTCTCTCTTTAAATCTCAGGCCGAATTCGTAGATTTTCAGGATGATTTGAAGGTTATCTAGGTAATTTAGTGGGGACAGGTGATTTGGGGACCCTACTCTTCTGCCGTCTTGCCCCTCCCTCCTCGCATTTTGCTAAATACTATATTTATTATTTTATAACTATAATATCATAATCTCTATTTTATTGATGTGCATTCTGAGGCTTTGGTTTTATATATTATTTTTATATCAGGCCATCTCACTGTATCCTCAGTTTCAAGGCTCATCCTGAATTTTTTCAGTGAATTCTAATAGCTTTCCCAGTGATTGTCTTGCCTCAGGTTTTTCTGGATTTTTAGATTATATGCAAATAATCTGCAAGTAAAAGAGAGTTTGCCTCTTATTTTCTAATATTTATACTTCTTATTTCTTGTTCTTGAGTTAGTGCATTGGCTAGAACATCCAGAAAAATACTAATTAAAAGCAGTGATAATATCCTCCAAGAATGACATTTGTCACAGTTTTTTTTTTTTTTTTTGGTACATATCAGGCTTACTTATATTCCTGGATGGCTAAGGTGTTTTCTGTTTTTTATTTTTTATAGATAATTTGTTTACTTATTTATTTGAGGTGGGGAGGGGCAGAGGGAGAAGGACAAGCAGACTCTGCTCTCAGCATGGAGCCTGGCATATGGCTGGATCTCATGATCCTGAGCTCATGACACAAGTTAAAATCAAGAGTCGGAGGCTTAATTGACTGAACCACCCAGGCACACCCTCCTGCCTTTTTCAAGTGGGCTCCACACCCAATGTGGAGTCCAATGCCCCACTTGAACTCATAACCCTCAGACTGAGACTTGAGCTGAGATCAAGAGTTGGTTGCTTAATCATGAACCACCCAGATGCTCCCCGCCCCTCATCTTTTTGGATGGCTAAGTATTTTTAAAAGAAATAGGTGATGAGTTTTATGAAATACTTTTTCTTTTTTTCAATTAAATGTTTCATTTATTTAGTTGACAGAGAGAGAGAGTACGCACGCACACAAGCAGGGGGAGTGGCAGGCAGAAGAAGAGGGAGAAGCAGCTCACCACCAAGCATCAGATAGCCTGAATGTGGGGCTTAATTCCAGGATCCTGGGATCATGACCTGAGCCAAAGGCAGACCCTCAACTGCTGAGCTACCCAGGCTGCCCTGAAATGCTTTTTCGACAGCAATTCAGGTGACCATGGTTTTTCTGTTTTCCTGAAGTTGAACCATCCTTGCATGTGAGTGGTGGCAGTAGTGGTGGTGATGATGATATAGATAATTGACATTTATTAAGAATTTACTACAGATCAGTCAGTGTTCTTCACACAACTCAACACCACAACCCTAAGAGATAGCTACTATTGTATTACTGCCATGTTGTTTTATAGATGAGGACAGTGAGACACTGAAAATTTTAAAAAGCTGCCTCACTACTTAGTCATTTTGGGGATGACATTATTCTTTTAGAACTCTACTGTTTTAATCTTTTTTGCTTTTATTTTATTTAGGAATTTGTACTCACACTATATGTGTGAGTAAAATTGGTCTATAGTTTTCTTTTCTTTTAGTCTCACATGCCAATTTTAATAGTTGATAACCTGAAAACTTTCTCACCCAAAATAGCATTAAACTAAGTTATAATCCAGCAGATGATGGAATTAGGAAAATAAACATTCATTTCCTGTGTACTACCAGAGTTACTAATGAAATAGTAAATCTAACTTGCATAGATCAATTTATAATACCTCTGATTATAATATTTATAAATAGCATCTTAGCACAGGTTCTTAGTACTTGGTTGGCTATCCTTCTTGGTGTCTCGTGATTGTTCAGTTTCCCACTGATAGTCTCTGAGCCACACCAATACCTTCTTTCACACAATACATCACAATGTATTTGGCCTTCTTTGGGGGAAAACATAAACATGTATGCACTTATATGACAGTCCTCAATAGTAAATCTTGAACCTCCAAGATCTTGTGCCCACATCCACAGAATTTTTTATTTTAAATGATTATTCATTTAACCATTAAAAAAAATACAGGGGTAAAATTAGTGAGAATAGTGTCTCTTTCAAAGGAAAGCCACACCCTTTTCCTATCTTTTTTTAAAACAAAAATTTAGTTGGAGTTCAATTTGCCAACATATAGCATAACACCCAGTGCTTATCCCTCCAAGTGCCCCCCTCGGTGCCCATCACCCAGTCACCCCAACACCCCTGCCCACATCCCTTTCCACTCCCCCTTGATCATTTCCCAGAGTTAGGTGTCTCTCATGTATTGTCACCCTCACTGATATTTTCACTCATTTTCTCTCCTTTCCCTTTATTCTCTTTCACTAATTTTTATAATCCCCAAATGAATGTGGCCTATAGTTTTCTATTTTCGTGTGCTATCCTCCAGTTTTAATACCAGGGTTATGCTTTCTGTGAAGCATGAGTCGGGAAGTTTTTTTTTTCTTTTATTGTACTCTGCTTTCTCAGAGTTTTTATTTCTCGTTTTTATTTCTCTAGTTTAGCTGGATTTTTAAATAATAGCAAGCATTTGCTGAGCACTTATGTGGGGTAGTATGCAGAACACTTCACATCCATTAGTTTATTTATGCCTCACTATTAAGGAATATGTATTAATCCTATTTGGTAGATTTTTTTTGAAAAGGGTTAAATTATTAAATTTTACTTGTCCAAGGTTACATAGTTAATATAGACAGATAAAGGTTTGAATCTAGGCTATTATTATCAGGGGGGAAAAAACCATTTTTACAAAAAGAAATGTCCAAATCTTAAGGTTTCATGTGTGCAGAACCGTAAGGCAAGAAATCCTTTAAACATCCTCCCCCCAAAAAACTATGAGGGTGCCTCAATTCTAATCCTGATCTTCCCTAGATAATTAAAAGTACAATAACTGAATTATCTCTTCATTCTTCCAAGTTTTGAGATCAGAAGTGAGAAGGAAGACAATAGAGAAGACAACGTTTTTTTCCCCAAGGCGAATGGGTGAGATATATTGAGATAAGGAGATAAGCTTGGTAAGTATTTCCATAATTTAACTTTGCAAAAGACTTGGCTAAGAAAAGTTTTGCAAAGGAACCACAGCCCACCATGATAAGGAAGCCTCAGAAGCAACCACAGAGGCTCCTTCTGAGGTCCTGCACCTGCTTGGAAGGGGCTGCGCACTGAACTCCGAGCACAGCAGCTGGCACAGAACAGGTGCCCAGTGGATGTTGAGCAGTGAGGGCTGCTGTTGCCACCTTGCTCACTAGTGCTAATTCTGCCTACTGCGCAGGCTTAGAAATGGCCCGGGACAGAGGAGGAAAACCTGGGAAACTGGTTGTATTTTTGAGTTAGGACAGGATGTTGAGTCCCCGTCACTCCGCCGGCGGCTGAGACCTCAGGTGCATTTTTAGCTTTTATACAGTACGATCAAGGAAAAGACTGAAATCGGTCATGAAATAATCTCTCTGGAACATCAGCTGGGAAACTCCTCCCTTGAAGAGGACAGCTGAAGGTCATCTGCAAGCCAGGAGGGGTCCCATGTGGAGCTGTACATGTGTCCTGAGTGTGGACGGAGTGATACTCAGAGGTCGCAGGTTAATGAGTAAGTATCAGCTAATCTGCACAGGAGAAAAATACTATCATTGCCCAGACTGTGAAAAAAGTTTTCAGTGACAGCTCAAATTTAATTAGATGTCAAGGGATTCACACCAAAGAGAAGTCTTGTAAAGTGTCCTGAGTGTGTGTGTGGGTCCTTCAGCCAGAGCTCAGACTCACCAACCACGGGCGGAGGCACTGGAGGAAGAAGCCCTGCACGTGCTGTGAGCGCGGGAAGATCTTCAGCCAGAGTTCTAGCCCACCTCCCACAGGCCTTCACACTGCAGAGAGGCCCTGAGCCTGGAGGGTGGTCAGGGGTTCAGTGGAAGTTTGCAGCTCTCAGGGGGAGGCCCTGTTGTTGCTGCCAGCGTGGGAAGAGCTTTAATTTGCAATGTACATCTTTCTGGGCATCACAGAGCCCATGCGGGGGAGAGAGCTTACACCCCTCCCTCCTGTGGGAGGGGCTTCAGCGACAGTTCCAATCTTATTACTAATCCGAAAATTTATTCTCAGGAAAAACAGGTAATGTGGCCAGTAGGGAAGCAGACTCTGTAACCACTAGTTCATTCAGGGACCAGTTCCAGGGTAGGAATCTTGATTACTCCATGGATAGGATGTGTCTCTCTGATGTGTCTTAACCTGCATAGAAAGTTTGCCCTGAATTATACTATTCAACTCTTTCCAAGGATAGAAGATATCTTAAATCTGAGGTTTGTTTGTTTGTTTATTTATTTACAGTCATCTGCTAATTTATTTATTTATTTATTTATTTTTATTTTTTGGTGTTTTATTTTATTTTTTTATTTTTTAGTTTTTTAATAATAAATTTATTTTTTATTGGTGTTCAATTTGCCAACATTTAGAATAACACCTAGTGCTCATCCTGTCAAGTGCCCCCCTCAGTGCCCATCACCCAGTCACCCCCACCTCCCGCCTACCTCCCTTTCCACCACTCCTAGTTCATTTCCCAGAGTTAGGAGTCGTTCTTTCTTTCTTTTTTTTTATTTATAATAAATTTACTTTTCATTGGTGTTCAATTTGCCAACATACAGAATAACACCCAGTGCTCATCCCATCAAGTGCCCCCCTCAATGCCCATCTCCCATTCACCCCCCCCCGCCCTCCTCCCCTTTCACCACCCCTAGTTCGTTTCCCAGAGTTAGGAGTCTTTATGTTCTGTCTCCCTTTCTGATATTTCCCACTTATTTTTTCTCCTTTCCCCTTTATTCCCTTTCACTATTTTTTATATTCCCCAAATGAATGAGACCATGTTTGTCCTTCTATTCACTTATTTCACACAGCATAATACCCTCCAGTTCCATCTGTGTCGAAGCAAATGGTGGGTATTTGTCATTTCTAATGGCTGATTAATATTCCATTGTATACATAAACCACATCATCTGCTTATCATGTGAAGTTAACTGCAAAGAGTTTCCTCTTAAGGGAAGGTGAAAATGAAGCCTATGAGGAAGACATAAAGAGATGGAAAAATATTCCCTGCTCATGGATTGGCAGAATTAATATTGTGAAAATGTCAGTGTTACCCAGGGTAATTTACACGTTTAATGCAATCCCTATCAAAATACCATGGACTTTCTTCAGAGAGTTAGAACAAATTATTTTAAGATTTGTGTGGAATCAGAAAAGACCCCGAATAGCCAGGGGAATTTTAAAAAAGAAAACCATATCTGGGGGCATCACAATGCCAGATTTCAGGTCGTACTACAAAGCTGTGGTCATCAAGACAGTGTGGTACTGGCACAAAAACAGACACATAGATCAATGGAACAGAATAGAGAACCCAGAAGTGGACCCTGAACTTTATGGTCAACTAATATTCGATAAAGGAGGAAAGACTATCCACTGGAAGAAAGACAGTCTCTTCAATAAATGGTGCTGGGAAAATTGGACATCCACATGCAGAAGAATGAAACTGGACCACTCTCTTGCACCATACACAAAGATAAACTTGAAATGGATGAAAGGTCTAAATGTGAGACAAGATTCCATCAAAATCCTAGAGGAGAACACAGGCAACACCCTTTTTGAACTTGGCCACAGTAACTTCTTGCAAGATACATCCACGAAAGCAAAAGAAACAAAAGCAAAAATGAACTATTGGGACTTCATCAAGATAAGAAGCTTTTGCACAGCAAGGATACAGTCAGCAAAACTCAAAGACAACCTACAGAATGGGAGAAGATATTCGCAAATGACGTATCAGATAAAGGGCTAGTTTCCAAGATCTATAAAGAACTTCTTAAACTCAACACCAAAGAAACAAACAATCCAATCATGCAATGGGCAAAAGACATGAAGAGAAATCTCACAGGGGAAGACATAGACATGGCCAACACGCACATGAGAAAATGCTCTGCATCACTTGCCATCAGGGAAATACAAATCAAAACCACAATGAGATACCACCTCACACCAGTGCGAATGGGGAAAATTAACAAGACAGGAAACCACAAATGTTAGAGAGGATGCGGAGAAAAGGGAACCCTCTTACACTGTTGGTGGGAATGTGAACTGGTGCAGCCACTCTGGAAAAGTGTGTGGAGGTTCCTCAAAGAGTTAAAAATAGACCTGCCCTATGACCCAGCAATTGCACTGCTGGGGATTTACCCCAAAGATGCAGATGCAATGAAACGCCGGGACACCTGCACCCTGATGTTTCTAGCAGCAATGTCCACAATAGGCAAACTGTGGAAGGAGCCTCGGTGTCCATCGAAAGATGAATGGATAAAGAAGATGTGGTTTATGTATACAATGGAATATTACTCAGCCATTAGAAACGACAAATACCCACCATTTGCTTCAACGTGGTTGGAACTGGAGGGTATTATGCTGAGTGAAATAAGTCAATCGGAGAAGGACAAACATTATATGGTCTCATTCATTTGGGGAATATGAATAATAGTGAAAGGGAATAGAAGGGAAGGGAGAAGAAATGGGTAGGAAATATCAGAAAGGGAGACAGAACATGAAGACTCCTAACTCTGGGAAATGAACTAGGGGTGGTGGAAGGGGAGGAGGGCGGGGGGTGGGGGTGAATGGGTGACGGGCACTGAGGGGGGCACTTGATGGGATGAGCACTGGGTGTTATTCTGTATGTTGGCAAACTGAACACCAATAAAAAATAAATTCATTATTAAAAAAAAAGAAAATGAGGCCTATGGCAGCACTTTCTGTTTGGTATTAAGTCTGATATGCAAGAAAGTGTGGTGCTTCCAGAATATTGTGGTTTCAGTGCAATTGGTGATCACACAAAATATCTGATAAAAGATGGGACAGTTTCATTCATGATAGTCCATCATGATAGAGTCTCTAGTGTCTTCTGTCCCACCTCTGATTTCAGCCTCCACTGCTGTAGACAGTATGTTTATGCAAGTCCACCACCGTTCACCTCATGCTGACAGTACCCCTCATACGCATGGCCAGATCCTTGGTTGTTTTAAATCTTGAATCTGTTTTTTTTTTTTGAAGCTGTTTTAAGCCTGCACATGACATTTATCAATCCTCAGTGCTACATAAATCAGAGTTAGCTCTTGCAAAGGATAAGTAACTAGGTTGATGTAGGATACCATTGAACATTTATGATTCTCTGAATTTAGCAACTTGGTCTGTGAATTTTACCTGTGATTGCTGTGACTTTATCCTTGGGGCCAAACGCATTGTTGTAGAGAGTGTTTAAACAGGCATGAGTGAAGGTTCATCTAAGGCTGTCTCTGATTTGGAAATCAGGCATAGAACTAGGATTGGTGAATGTGATATCATAATATGTTTCTCTGTGAACCTGAACTCAAAACAAAGCCTTAAAACACTTTCATTGTTGTTGTCACTTACGATCATGATGCTAAGGCTGGGTCTCTACTAAAACTTTTGGGGAGCTCCTAGGGCTATAAGGTTTGAATTCACGTTTGTAGAAGTTCGATGTGATTGATATCTACTCTGTTGTTAAATGGCCCAGTCCATTGGCCCCAACCCAGCATTGCATTGAAAACCTTTAACACTTTTGATTTTTTGGATGTTAACTTCCTCTCTAGTTGCTTCCGAAACCCTCATATGGTATCCATCCACAGTGGGGTCAGCTAACCACCTGGGATCATTGGAAACCAGCAAAGAAATAGAATACAGTGTCCTCCAATCTCAAGGAGTTTGTTTGTTTGTTTACTTATTTATTTATTTATTTATTTATTTATTTATTTATTTATTTATAAGATTCCACTTATTTATTTGAAAAGGAGAGAGCACAAGCGGAAAGAAGGGCAGAGGGAGAGGGAGGAGCAGATTCCCTACTGGGTAGGGATCCCTATGGGGGACTCCATCCCAGGACCCTGGAATCATGACCTGAGCCCAAGGCGGACGCTTAACCCACTGAGCCACCAAGGGGCCCCTCTTGGGGAGTTTAGAAACCTAGTTGTTGGATATATACAGGAGAATTTGTTAACATTTAACCAAAGCCCAAATGGCCTTGCATTGAGTTGGGGAGATTCCTGATGATTAGACTTTTGAGGCCAAAGACTGTCTTGTACATCTTTGTATGACCCACTCTCAGCACAGAACCAGCTACAGGCAGGTTTCAATAGATGTTGACTGACTGATTTCTTTATGCCCACTGTTTTTTATTTTGTTTACACTCTGTAGCTTTTAAAAAGTCCAGCGAACATTTGTTGCCCCTCATCCTCTGCCACACTTCTTTTTAGACTTTTAAATTGTAGCTAGTCTGGAAAATATGTGCATTTGCATTTCTGTGATGACTACTGGGGTTAAGAAGGTTTTCATGTTTATTGGAAAATTGTGTTTCTAACTTTATGATGTTTGTTCAAGTCTTTTGCCCACATTTCTAGTGATTCTTCTACCTCATCATTTGTGCGAGTTCTCTCTCTCTCTCTCTATATATATGTATATATATAGTGTATTATTCAATCTATCTATATATAGTGTATTATATTTTTAAAGATTTTATTTATTTGACACAGAGAGAGAGAGAGCACTAGCAGG